CAAGCAAACTATTTTTTTTCATATGACCCTCCTTTCAGTCGAGGGAAAAATCATTATTTTCTTTAAAAAAGCCTTTTTTTAGCAAAAGAAACAATTTGAAAAAATTGAAAAACCAATAGCACCATTCGATTCCTCGACCCCGAAAACCTTTGGTCAAACTTTATAAAAAATCATTATTCCCTTAAAAAAAGCCTTTTTTAGCAAAAAAAATAATTTGAAAAAATTGAAAAACTAATAGCACCGTTCGATTCCTCGACCCCAAGAACCTTTCGTGAAACCTTACAGGAGGAACATATGGAAAACGAATGCCCATGAATATTTTAGATGATGTTTTTTTGACCTTGATGTTCTTTTGACCCTGACAGCCAGCCAGCCAGCCAGATACAAACTTATTTTTTTTCATATGACCCTCCCTACAGTCGAGGGAATTATAAAGAATAACTACGACTATAGTTTCGACCTTTCTCAAGGGTCAGAATCTTCAGGTAGTTTTAGCACTGCATAAATTTTCAAGCAATGGGTGTGGGTGTGAGTGTGAGTGTGTAAAGCTTCCATGATATCGATATTTCGCCTAAGCAACTAGGATTGTCAAATGGTACTCGTAAGGAATCAAAATTTCAGGGAATTTTGGCGAAACGAGGTTAATTCTGAACTGTTAACGAAGTAATGTAAGAAAGGAATTTTACAGTAGTGTGTGAAGGTACGATAATATCGATATTTCACATAGGCAACTAGAATTTTCAAATGGCACCCGTAATGAATCAAAAATTCTCCAAAAAAGAGAATTTTTTGTCGAAGTAGGGTATGGGTGTGGATGTATGGGTGTGAATGTGAGAAGCTGTCACAATGCTAAGTTTTAGTATTTCATTAATGCTAAATGAAAATTATCAAGTAGCCAGTATTTGTACAATTGATTCAAATATGATTTTAATAACTGGATCATTTTCTTCGTTCTCATTTCATGTTTTTCTTACATTTTCAGTTTCCGTTCGATCCCTGAAACAGATATAGAATTATGTATGATATAGTAAGCGAAAATTTGAAATAGCATAATTTTATTTTTTATCCTTTACTGTCTTTATATTGACATAAACTAAAGTATTGCTCTTTTCTCTGAGCTAGATAATACAATGGAGGCCATGATAACGAGAGTTTCTACAAAAAGACAATAGAATATGAAACGTTTCTTTGTATTCGCGACAATTTACTGCTCTATATGAATGATAATTGTTCTCTAATTGTTTCGATGTATCGTGTCGTTTCGTTTTTTCAAGATGGTTTAACAGGCTTTGATATTCTCGTTGTTGTTTTCTTTGTTTCTAATTGTATCAAGATTTCCATATCATGCAATTGTTTCGAATAATCGGACGAGAATAGATGAAGCGAAATCATTGACTCCTGTTGTTTTAACTTTTCTTCAAGTGAAAGTTCCAATAATCTATATTGTTCATCTTCTTCACGTTCTAATTTTTTTAATTGATTTTCAAGAACTTCTTCCATGATTCGATCGAAATCATTACATTGCCATGGTTTTTGTTCTTTCTGATGGAAATTTGATAAATATTGCTTCTGTTGTTCTTGTTGACACTGATTTTTCTGTCCTTGTAATTGATGCCATCGAGTTAAAAAAAATTCAATTTGCTGACGAAAAGATATTTTTGTCGATTCATTTGCTGATGATGATGATGAACTGGTCGTAACTGTTACTTCTTTCTTCGTTGGATGGAAAAGGATAGGTAGATAGGATGTATGACTACACTGCTTCATTCTAATCAACAGAAATCTGAAATAGAAATGAAATAATTTTAAAAAATTTATTTTTACAAATAAGTTCAGAAACGAGAGATTTTGTGCTACATGAAACAGTTTATATTTGATTTGATTCACGTTAGTGTGCATGTGACTTTTACTCGTCGAGAATCAGATACAAGAGAGCGAGAGAGAGAGATTGTCACTTGAGTCATTTACTTAATCATCAACAATATGAATAGAAGAATGAATTCGTACGTCTAGCAGTAAAGAAAACATATTAGTATACGACTATTAAAATGAATTAAGAGAATAAATGAATTCTATCGTATAAGTGAGACATATATATATATATATAGAAATACATGATAAGGAAAACTTCATTCTAAGTAGTATGAAATATAGTTGAATAGATGATTGGCTATCAAGAGGAACTATTGAAAATATACAATATTTACAGAGATCTAACAACAATACTACTTCGAAGAGAGAGAGAGAGAGAAAGCAAAAGAAGAAAAGAAAAGAAACATTTCTAAATCTATGTTGAGAAGAATGTTCCTTTTTGATTTAATAAAGGATGAGATGGTTTTTGTTGACTCAATAATGCATTTAATGAATATTGCTGTTTCGTTGTCACTTGTACATGAACAGGTTTGCTTTTTGATATCGTGATAGGTGATGATGCCTTTACATTTTTAGATAAACGTTGTTTCGTTTTTTGTAAATTAATTTGTTTTACTGTAGCATTTGAAGCATCGAGATTGACTGATAAGATTTTTTTCAGTTCTTGATTAAAAACATGTCGCGAACCGATTTCATGTACATAAGATAATTGAATATATTCATGATTTTTTTCTAATTCTCGTTTTTGATCAGATATGCGTCGTTGTTCACTGATAAAGTTCATTAAACGAAGACGAAGTTTCCTGTAAACATTGCCATCCAAATTGGTACGTAAAGAAACAGCATCAAAATGTTGAAAAAAATGCTCGATTCATTTTTCGATGAATTCTAATGAATAACCATTTGTTAAACAAGTAGTTTCAAGATAGATACGTTCCCGATTAAAATCATCCACTGATGTGCAATATCGAACAGCACGAATCAAAGATGATCGTAACCAATGACTATGTTTAGCTTTTGCATTACCAATTACGTAAGGTAAAGTATACTTTTGTAGTGTTGAATCATGATCTACTCGAGTGTATAAAATACCATTTTGATTTTCAATGTAAGCATCTAGAAATCGAACATGAGAACTCATGCTGACATTTATATGCATCTCAATATTCGGACGTACTATTGCTTTAATCATATGTACAAATTCACTATTAGCTTTATTCCATGTAAAAAATAATTGATTTTCATATCTAAAATGATGTCATTAAATAGTAGAATTTGACAATTTTTCAAGAAAAAATAAAGAAAACAAAAACAACCGTACTAAACCTACCTGCCAACAAATTCTTGTTCTAAGAAAGGATGTCGGAATAATGATTTTAACCAATGTAATATATATATATAAGCTAATGTTCTCGTCAGTGGATAATTCATTGGTGCACCTTTAGTAAATCGATAGATCTTATGATCATAATAAAATCGATTATGATGTAGAAATAGTGAACTTAAACGATAAATTTTACCAATGGGAACATTTTGTATGGTTAATAAGTGACAAGGATCTGTTAAGAAATCTTGAAGTGTTTGAAGAAATGTATCATGATCTGCCATATGATAAAAATTTGAAATAGTGACAACAATAAAATTTGTTGTTGGACGAAGACGATTCTTCTTTTCATCTACTTCTATATAATTATTAAATTTTCGAAAAAAATCAGCTCCATTTTTGAATGTTATCAATTCGAGTTCACGTTGAACAACCGGTCGTAGTAGTTGATCTAAGAAATGAGCTAATCGAGTTGTTTCAGTATATTGTGCGATCACAACTGGTTGTACCGATAGATCATAGTTCTAATAAAGTACATAGAAAAAGTATATATAGCTGTATAGAGTCAAGCAAAAATTAATATGATTTACTTCCGAAACATCGGGTTGAAAATACAAATAAGATAGTTCAACTTTATCTATATTAATATAGATTTTGTCTAACATATCTTTGAATTTTTCTCCATGAAGGGTATCTTGAAAATCAGCATTCAAGGATTTAATCTTGTTTGTTAAATAGGTACGTGTTGCCTGAAGATTATTATCATCGATAATTTCACAAAGTTCAAATCGATCTGTTTTCTTCATATATTCATTGGCTTTCTCTTCAAAATCAGGTCTATAACCGAGATAGAAAACATTGCATTGATCAGCTATTCGTTGTAGAATAAGATTGTTTTCTTTCAAATGATCTTGAATGGATTGTATCAATTGTTTTTCATGACAAGCACGTTGTTGAAGAGATATTGGTAATGTAATAGAAAAAGCATTTTTATATGCTTCTTGAATTTTTTTACTAATAAAACTACGTTGAACCATGTTTACATTGTATTTATTATAAAGAATATTTAAATGATGTTGTAATACATGGTAAGTTTTTTCAACGTAAAGATTTGGTGTCATATCTAATGAGGATATATACATTTGACAAGGTGGAACATAAGTAGGTCCACGATTGAGTAATTTAATTTGTTCTACAGTAAATAAATGTAATGGAGTATCAATAATCAATGATGGTGAAAAACGTACACTTGGTAACGCTAATACATCTTCTATATCATCAAATTGATGTCGTAAAAAATAATTGAGTCTAAATTTGGAAATGTACTCAAGTTTTTTGTTTATCAACTGAATACGTCGGACGATAATATTCATTAATAATTCTGGAAAATTTTCATTGGTATTGTTTTCCGTGTTGGCAATGCGAAGAACTTCTTCATTATATAAATTTCGATCGTTCACGATTTTCTTTTCTGCTTCAGCGATCGATTCACTCATGAGATCAGTCATTTTTACTTGCAATTCTTTTTCTTCTCGATTAAGTTCTTGTTGAAAAATATTGGCATCTTGTATTAAATCCCCATTCGAGTTTGATACTGAAGATAATGCTTTTGCATGAATCAGTTGTGTTGGTTGCTGATAACATATGTGTTGTTTTAATTCAATTAAATCCTGTTTCGCCAGTACATAGATATATCTTAAATCAAACAGACGTTGTGCCACTTTGATCTAAATAAATTTATTAAAAAAAAAGAAACAAACATAATCTCATTGATAATAATAATTTCAAATGAATAAACATACTTGATATTTGGTAGGATTCAATTGTAAATAAGTACGTTCAAGTAGTTGATCATCATAATCATAGGCTAATATTTTCATTTCATAGTTTAATTTCATTTCATATGATACTAAACTATATTGTTTAACAAATTTTTCAACAGATTTTTCTAATTCATCTGTAAGACCAATGGATTCTTGTTTCTTTTCATTGTAGACTGTATGCTTGTGTACCAATTTGTCATTTAATACTTGTAAATGTTCAATAACAATCTTTTTACCATGAAATTGCTCATCATTACTTTCGGATGTATCCGACTTATTCAATCGGGATATGATCATGTTTTGGATTGGAATAGGCCATATGCATCTATCGACATTCGTCTTCATACTTTCCGAAGTTTCCCATTGACCAGTACCTGATTTCAAATAGATGTTCCAGAGTTTCTTCTGAAGATCTATTTTTGCTATGTGATATTTCAATATAGCTAATTCTCGTAAATTATCTATCGAAAGTGTTGTTGTAATTTTGCTTAGTTGTTCCATCATGATTTTATCAAACAAATCATTTAATCTTTCATCATAATCTGATATCAAATGCTTTTCTTGTTTTTCTTCATCATCATCATCATCATCATCCCACGATCGCTGTGCATTATTTATCGATATTTGACTTAATTTTTGTGAAAGAACTTGTTCGTTATTGATCTAAAAGTGGTCAAAGAAGAATTAGATAAATGAGAATAATACCAAATATAACTAAACAAATAAATTCATATTTTACTTCAGTCTCATGATCCATATTCGTTTTTAGAAAGATTGTCTCATCCAATAGCAAGGTCTCTTCATTGAAAATTGTATTTTTAGTATCAAAATCAAAATCTTGATTGTATTCTTCTAGAATATCTTCTCGATCTTCATCATCTTCATCAGTAAGAATGTTAAAGTGCGTGGCATACCATTCACCATCATGGAACTATAGTCATATGAAACAATCACATAGATAATGATGCAGAAGAGAAAGATCAATGAACATACTACCTCATCATCACTTTCTTCATTTGTAGTAAGATCAATCACGGTCGTTATCATCTTTTTATCATTATCACATGTAGCCATTTTCAAATGCAGTTGATACGATGTTTGTTTTCGCTTGGTTAAAAATTATCTACAATGAAAAATTCTATAGATACAACATATATGAGCAGATTAAACATATAATAGGAAGCCAATTGAATACAAGCGAGTGTTAGATCTTGACAAACGAATGAATTGCAAATTGTATAGAAATTTCATGAAATCATTATCATCATTACTACTCGATAACGTTCATGTTATGACGGCTTCATAAATTTTATGAAAGCAATTGCATACAAATCAATCGTGGATGCATGAGAAAATTAGTTAAAATGATGCAACTGGTGCTTTTTTCTCAAGGACAAAAAGAAATTAAAGTTGGTATTGTGATACAGAGTTCTCCTGCTATATAAGCATCTAGTTCAAATAATGCATATACTTCATCTAATTCAATTGCAAGCGATGATTTGATCATGATCGAATGGCGACAGTAGCATTTGCTAGGCACAGAACATTCTTTTAGTTTTTTCTTGTCATACTGAATCGAACTTTTGACATGTGATAATAAAATCAAAATACAAAACAGAATATGAAGAGAAAAAAACTCGCACTACAAATAATCAAAGCAAATGAAGCAAAAGATTAAGAAAAACAAAAAACAAGAAAGGAAAAGTGAGAGGAAACTAAACTACAAATAAAAAAATAAAAGACGACAAATGAAACAAATAAACCAAAAAAGCATGACGATTGTTCCAACAACGTATTTCATGAGTTTAATGCAAACGATACGATTACTTAGTGATACCAATTTGTACCACTGACTTAAGCGAATTTAATATCGCCAAAATTCTAGAAAAATAACATTAAAAAAACAAAAAGAAGAAAGTTATGTTAGGTTTTTTGATGGCTATAATGAGGCCTCGCGCGAGGGTACCAGGTTTGGGGCGAGGGCTGTAAGACTCCTGAGGTAGTTAGATTGGGAGAAAGCAAAATTTTTTTCATATCAGACCTAATATTCATCTTTCTCGTGCAACTTAAAATGCAACAATTTTTCGTGGAGCGAAAACTTTTTGCAACCTTCTTAGTAAATTTGACTTTCTCTGGCAAATTTTCAAGAAGACAGCTAGCGACTGACGTAAGAAAATTCCTCAAAACTGCTGTCACTGAAGGCGGCCACTCTGGAGATAACTGTTCGCGACTAGGTTGTTTCAAAGGAAAAATAAACTGAATTTAGAAGTCTTTCTAAGTTAACTGCAGTTACGCAACTGTTATTGTTCACGAGGCGAAAATTTTTGTTCACGTCAGACTCATGAAAAACTCTTCGTTTCTTTATTGTTCTCGGAAGCAAAAAGTGTTGCCCTAAGTCTTAGCAATTTCGTCGCCGAAGGCGGTCACGCTTGCGATGACTGCTCGCAAATAAAACTGTTCACAAGGTAGGAAGCAGTAAAGTTTGTCATAAAAACAGGAAGATCAGAATTATTTTCAAGACGAGTATGCCCATGTAGCTACTTCTTCGTCAAGCAAAAAGTTTTAATAGTTCAGAATTTTATAGCAAAAATCATCGTTTAAGCCGAAATTTCGAGTAAAAAGCCAGCTGATTTCTTCAACTTGCCATAGAACTTCATTTTTTTTAGCGGAGATATCTCAACGATAGTTGCCGATTATTATTATAGAAAAATCACACCTTGACTCCAATTTTCACTCAGGACACCTCTGAACGATATTTGTGAACATATTTCTATGAGATACTTTATAAATGCAAAATAATATTATCCATTTTGGGTGGCTAATAATAAATAATTTTCAATTATTTGGGGAGGGGGAGTGTATATCTCGCTACACGCATCTTCCTCATTTTCGCGGATCCTGGCTATAATACTTACTTATTCCGTTCATCTAGACATGGTATATCTCTGTTAACGCGATCGATACCATCATCAATGGCTATGTTCACTTTGGTTAGAATATCTTCGCCTACTGGTTTCGATATTTGTTGATTTTCTGTAGTTAGAATATGTGTGCTCTGTATTTTAGATTCTATTTTTGTTTCTTTGCGTTTATGTCGAAGTGTTTTGGTCCATTTTATGCCAGCACGTGATCTTACTGATTGAAATTTCCCCTCTTCAATAGGGTTATCCACTAGAATAGAATATTAGGTTTCGTTTAAAATTCGATTCGGTAATTTGAAGAATCATTAAAAACCTTTTTTCAGAAACATATTCCAGG